GTTGAGGGGTTTCTCTCCATCTCCTCTGCCCGGGGTGTTCCCCTCGCAGGCGTCTTTCCTTCCCTCGGGTCCCCTTAGCCCAGGCAGCCCACCCGTGCCAGTGGGTGCTCCGTGTCCCGCTGCCATGAAAGTCCCTTTGGGAACGTGCTCCGGGAAGAATAGGAGCTATTGTTCTCCCAGAGGGTTTCAACCTCCCCTCCACTGTATCCAGCGCTTTGATTTCTCCTCCTGCGAGCGAGGAGTGTCCACTGCTCAGAAGAGCTTGACTCAAGCCGTTCTCTCAAGCAATTAGTTTTTAATTGCGGTGGGTAAATGAGGAGTCCAGGGTGGTTGGATGTCCCACAAGCCTTGGGCAGGGGGAATGGCAGCTCCTGGATTAGTGCAAAGTACGCTGGGCTGTGTGCCCTTCGTGCTGGGGTCAGGCAAGGTCTGATCCCCAGAGCTTTGGGCTTTCCCCATCCCTTGCTTGGCATGGCCTGTGAGGGCAGCTCCATTGGTGTCCCTCCCGGCCACGAGCAGTTCTGAAGGTGAAAAGAAGGTTTTAACCTTGAAACAAACGATGGGATTTCTGGGGTCATTTCTAAGTAGGTTTGGTGATCACTTTGTGATACAGCCAGCAGCCCCTTGGTGTTACAGGTGGAGAAATCAAAGAGCTGCACAAGATGAGAGCCTGGAAGAGACAGTGGGCTTGCCTTGCCCTTGCATTGGCTGGGCAGTGCAAAGTGCCCATATGTTCCTCCAGGCAGGGTTGAGACAGTGGAGGTGAAGTTTATGTAGGTCACTGGGAAGGGAATGATGTGATTAGAACCAGGAGGTGCTGTGAAATAAGAGCAGAAAAAGAGGTGCTGCGGGATAAGGTGTAAAATAGGAGCACTTGGCTAAAAAGGAGCCTTGGAAAGCTACTGTTGGAAGGCAAGCATGACATTCCCTGTGCCAACAACGTGTGTACGCGGGCCTCAAGTGTCCCCCACAGCTAAAGCAGTGTTGACCCTTGGGTTGGGGCACCTGTTGCTCCAGTTTCAGCTGCTGTAGAGCTGTGCTCCAGCATCACTTGGGCATAGCGTGGGTATAGCTGGTAGGAGCTGTAGGACTGAGTCTGAGAAGCCCCCCCCCACCAGGGCTGGGGGCTCCTTTTCCTCCCACACTGGGGACAGGCTCCTCTCTCTCCTCTAATTAGCCATCACTTCTGTCAGTTTTTTTTTCTCTGGGTGAGGTTTGGATGACAAAAATGAAACAAGCTACATAACTTGTTCCTGATGGAGGTGGGAGCTGCTTGTTCATGTCCTTTCTGCCCTGTGTGTTGGCTTAATGCTAGGAGAGGGTATTTGAGCAGCTGGAAATTCTTCTGCAGATACCGCGGGTAGTGGCAGCCCACGGATCCTGAGAAGCCGTTGTGCTGTGGTGGCTCTGGGCAGCAAACCCTGCGCTGCTGTGCTTTGCTTGCTCTGCCAGCTCTGCGTAGCAGCAGAGTTTGCTGCCAGCAGGATGCAGCGGAGTGGCTCACACCTTCCTTTGACACAGAGCTGATGTATAAACCTGGGCTGATACTGTGGCTGGAGCCAGGGAGGGGGTTTTCCAAGCCCTGAAGAGCCCCAGAGCTGCAAACCAGTAGAGTGCTCCTAATAAAACATATCATTAGGCCAAATTCCTATCAGGCTTAATCTCATTGTCTCATCCTAACACTTAGTTTCCTCCCAGCCCTGTTTTCCTGGCTGGTTTCTACCCCAGAGCTCTCACTGGCGTAAGGGTCTTTGGCAGGCAGCGTTCTGAGTGCACACGTGCTGCTGGACAGCCGAGTCCTAGTATTGAATTCTTTCTTCCAGCTGGAAACGCTCCTCTGGGATCTCCTCTTGGCCATTCCCCTTTTCCCAGGGAACGGCAATCACATTGGTCAGCCTCGTGCATCAAGGTGGCAAATCTAATCCAGCAGAGATTAGTTTCAACCTAGTTTTACCCTCTAATGCGCTGGGCTGAGAGGAAGGAAAATTCAGCCTACTAGAGAGCAGGTGTCGGCTTCTCTCATCCAGGGCAGGCACGAGCATCCCTCAGCCCCTTCCCAGCCCCAGTAGGCAGGGCAGTGGGCATTGAGCTTTTGAACAGCCCAGTAAGAGCTTGGCCTGACAGCTGGACCCACCTTTTTGGGGAGTGAGGAAGGATCTGGCTTTGCTCAGGTTGCCTTGCAGGTAGCTGGGACTTGTGTGGCTGAATTTATTGCCTTAAAGTCTCCCAGAAAGGCTGTTCAGGGCAGGAGTGGGGGAGAGGCTGGGGCTTATTAAGCAGTTCTTATTAATAGAACAAACCACTTAAAATGGGAACTTTAGCAAAAGGCTCTAGGAGGAACTTCAGCCACTTGGGCTGAGTCTGAGTCACTGGCCCTGGGGACTGAATTCCTGTGTGCTATTGTGAGTGTTTGCCTTATCGCAGTCACAGCCTGGCTTGTATACAATGTGGAGGGTGGAATGTCTTTGAAATGTGCTCCCCTCTTGCTTCCTTGGGTCTGGAACAGAGCTGTGATGCTGGTGGGCTGTCCAGTTCCCATCCAGTTGACATGTAAGGGGACTGGGTTCTAGGTATGTGCTCAATGTCACCCATCCTGCTCTAGTACCATGCTACCAGGGAATGTTGGACCCCTGGGCACATGTCCCTCAGCCATCCTCTATGGATGTAGTATTCCCTTCAGTCTTCACCATTTCTGTGAGGCTTCTTGCTCCTGGAGAAACACTGCACTCTGCTCTCACATCCCCTGTCCTGCTGGGAGGTGCAAGCTGTCTACTGCTCCTGTACAACAGGAATGAATCTGTGACCTGATGGCCAGGAGGTGCTTTGGCCCTGTTTTGGTTCTCAGTGATGTTTGGCAAGTTCCTCCTACAGAGGCTGTTTGGTGGCAGTGGCAGTAGGTAATGTGACTACTCTCTGACTTCTGCTGCTGGCTGAGCCCAGGTCTCAAAGCTCAATTGGGCCCTTTGTGTTGGGCCGGCAAATGATACCCCTGGGTAGAAATAACTGAGATAAATCAAATTGAATTGGCAAAGGAGGGCAAAAAAAGGAACTGGGAACATTGCTTTTCACCACAGCTCTCAATTTGAGTTGGTGTCCATGGTGATAAGGGAAGTCTGTGTCATACTGGTTTAGTGGGCATGGTCTCTGGTGTCCCATCTGGAGTTTGTGAGATGGGAGGAGGCGTTGACAGTCACTTCTGTCCTAGTGGGTTTCCTACGAAACCTTAGTTCAGCTGCACAGAAAGGACTTCCCAAAGCGGTGGTTAACTAACCAGCAGTGAAGGTTTGAGGCACTGGGACTCCCTGGACAGGTCCAGGCTCCTCTGTCCGAGACAGTAAAGAGGAAGCGACTCCCAGCATATGGGCTGGAGGGGTCTGGAGCATGTGCTGCAGGCATGATCAAGTATGGAAGGCTTGGGGCTGGCTGTGGCAGCAGGAACCAGGCATCAATCAGCTTGGGGCTGCAGCACTTCCAGAGCTGGCCCAGCAGCCAGACTGGCACAGCTTGTCACACCTGGGGACAGCTGGTTTTAATCTTCTGGAAGAAATGAGAACATGTTCTGGAGGCTGGAGGGTGTTTGGGTTACTGGTGGCTGTGTGGACCTCCTGCAGTCCTGATGCACTAGTGTCTGCAGATGGAGCTGCTTTTTGGGGGTGAGTGTATCTCATGAATCACAAATGATGCTGCCCCAGTACTACCAGTGCCAGAGATCCTAGTCTCTTGGGGACTCACTCCTGCCTTCCTTGTCAGCATGGATAACAGTGGTGAGGAACACATGCCCAGAGTAGGGAATGGCCTCAGTGCTTTACCCACTCTAACCCCTGGAGGGGTTTTATCCTGGACAGGCAGTGCATAAACTGTGCAGATGTTAATGATTTCTGCTCTGAAGAATGTGGTGTTGTTGCTGAACACAGACCGGGTCATTAAGCTGTGCTGGGCTTGCTGGAGCTGGGCAGTGTAGGAGGGTAGAGACAGGAGCAAGACCCTCCCGCTCATGGCTGTGGGGGTGTTGCTGGCAGGATGTAGCAGTTGAGCTGGCTGGGCAAGTTGTGGTCTGTTCTCTTGGGTGCCTGCAGGTTTTTGAGGTGGGGCTAGGGACAAGTGACCAGAACTGACCCAGGATTTCTTCCTGAGGCAGAGTAGAGAGAAAACTGAATGGGCAGTTTGAGAGAGTGAGAGCCTGTTCCTTCCCCCCAAATATTTGTCCTTTCTTGGTGCATGATGTTCTGCAAGCTTTGCCTGTTCTATTTGCTAGCCCTCAGAATTATCCAAGAGTTTGAAATCTCAGTGTTTTTTGAAAGGAACAGGAGTCCTTGCTGAGAATAGGTATCTCATCCATATGCTGTGTGTGCTTAAGCAGAGATGTGGGGAGCTGAAACCTTGGGTGAGCAAGGAGAGGGGGTTCCATGCAGTTATTCCAAAGGCACATGGGGTCCAGTCCTCCCTCAAGCTCTTGGTGGGATATCTGAGACACCAGAGGCATTCCCCTTGCACTGGAATGTTAATGACAAGGTGTGGAGGGGATTCAACCCATTTTCAAGCCTCCTGGCACTGTTGCTCAGATGTGGCTCTCTGGGAATCGTGTAGGCCTTCTGGGTAATGCTGCATTTGTACCTGCCCTCTAGGGTGTTTTCCTTTGTGTCTTTAACCTTGGGGATATCCTTTTTTTCCTATTTTAGGAATTTCTTTGTGACCCAAAGTTCAGTGATGAAGAAGATCTGGAGGAGAAGTTGGCAGTGTTCAAAGGTGAGAACTGGAGGGTTTCCCTGTCCTGTTTGCTCTGAACAGATTATTTTCCTCAGCACTTGGATCCTACCAGGCTGAGATTCTCTGCCAAATACAAGTGACTGAGCTGGGATGGATGCCTCCCTCTTCCTTGTGAGACTCGGTGAAATTCCCCAGAGAGGTGGTTTTCCCACGTGAGCCTTTGTGCTTCTCCCACTTGCTCTCGCAGGGCTGGGACATGTCACCCTGCAGACATCTCTGCCTGGCAGCTGCTATTACAGCAAAACCTGCTGCGTGGGCAAAGCCCCGGGGAGCAGCGAAGGAGGATGGTTTCTGTCTAGATACCTAGACAAGCTAGGTGGTGTAATGGATGATGCAGTAGCTGGACTCTTTTTCTTCAGTGAGTAGGAGGACCTCTTCCCACAGAGCAGAGGTTTCAGCTGCTTCCTGAAGGAGTTGGGACCTTTCTCTCCCCACAAGTTTCTGCAGTCTGATCTGGTCCTCCCCAAGCCCCTTGGTACCAGAAGTGACAGCAGTAAGATGTCTCTAATCCTGGCCAAAGCCTAATGCCAGAGGGTCAGCAGATCTGGGGCTTATATTCAGGCTGTTTGCTGGGATGGGGGATAGCGAAAAAGCTCAGGAGCTTGTCCCCAAAGTGGTTACAGGACAAGATTTGGCAGGGCTGTTCTGGGTATATCCACTTTCTTTCTAAGCAGTGGCTGAAGGCAGTTGAGAAAACATGCCTTCTGCGTCACACTGCCCTCAAGGTTTGTCCTCAACCTGGCTCTGACCAAATACATCCTGACCTTGCTTCCATTTCAGGTGTTGACTGCTATTTCCCTTTGAATTTTGGCTTTGCAATCCAGCACGGAAGAATCTAGCTGGGGTTTTGTGGTCCCTTACCCTGCTGGGGACAGAGGAGCCTCCTGTGCTCCCTGTCCTTTTTTCTGTCGCCTTTTGTATGGCTTTGGCTTTTGGCTGCAGCTCCGCATTATTTTTCCCCATCACAATTGAGGCTCTTCAAACATTGCAACTGTAGGTCACAGGCGCAGAATTCCCTGTAACGAGAGCCCTTGGCATCTCCTCCTGCTGCCTCATGAGTTTGCCTCCGTGGCCTGTCCCACTCTTCAATACCTCCCCCGGCTCCTCCAACAATCAATTCATTGTGTGATGATGGGGGAAGTGTTTCTTCTCTGCCATCCTTCTCGCTGCCCTCCCCAGCCGAGCCTGGGGAGCCCCGGTGCAGTGTTTGTGTAAATACATTTGTGAGGGGAGGGACAACTCATGGTTTTGCCCCACCAAATCCCCGCAGCTGGGATGGGAGGGAAAAATAAAAGTCCTAGCCAAGGCTCAGAGCACGATGATGTAAAGCTGCTTCTGTTCTCTGTGCGTTTGGCTTAGTGTCAGCTGAGAAGAAAAGAAAACGTGTTGGGCACAAACACAGCAAAGCAGAGTTTGTGTCCCCAAATGCATACTGGGGTGCCTGACCCCTGCCCAGCGAGGTGGCAGTTCATTTGCACAAGGTCATTACAGTGGGGCAGAGTGTGGGGAGAGCCAGTTCTACATCAGGCATCGCTTTAGCCCCTCACCAGATGTGTGGCAGCCCCAATTTCACCTATAGAATCATAGACTGGTCTGGGTTGGAAGGGACCTTAAAGATCATCTAGTTTCAACCCTCCTGCCATGAGCAGGGACACCTTCCACTAGACCAGGTTGCTCGAAGCCTCATCCAACCTGGCCTTGAACACTTCCAGGGAGGAGCAGCCACAGCTTCTCTGGGCAACCTGTTCCAGTGTCTGACCACCCTCACAGGAAAGAATTTTTTCTGAATATCTAATCTAAATCTCTCCTCTTCCAGTTTAAAACCATTACCCCTCATCCCATCACTATGTGCCCTGATCAAATGTTCCTCCCCAGCCTTCTTGTAGCCCCTTCAGGTACTAGAAGGCCGCTAGAAGGTCTCCCTGGAGCCTTTTCTTCTCTGGGCTGAACAGCCCCAACTCTCTCAGCCTGTCTTCATAGGATAGGCTGATCTAGGTTCTATGTTGCTTAATGCTTGAAGGGAGAGATTTATTCCTGCCTGAAGCATGAACAACTTTGGTTTGTATGTGGTACTCCGGTAGGTCTGACCTGGTCAGCTCATGACAGTAGTGATCCCCCAGCTGAGACCATGGTGAAGACCTGCCAAGCCATTCCTCTGCCTCCTGCCTGTAGCTGCCATCAATCCAGTTAACCCCATGCTGTCCTTCAAGTCCTGGGAAAGCTCCAATGTGTGAAATATACCCTCTTTGGCTCCTTAAATTAGCCTGTCAGTTCTCTGTTCACGCTCATCTGCTTGCTGGTGTCCCTGGAGTGGAGGCAAAAGGACCTTTTCCCTTGGAGGAAAGGAGCAGCCTGGGACCTCTCACTTAATGTGAGTCCTCCAAGGCTGTTTTGGGGAGTGAGTGCTAACTGCAGGGCAAGTGGAGATTTCTCCAGCTCAGTGTGGATGGCTGGTGACAGCAGGCATCTTGCTCTTCTCATTTAGCAGAACTGAGATGATGGGGGGACCCCTGCGGTGCCAGGAGCTGTACGGTCTGTAAGACCAACAAATCCTTGCCTGAAGAGCTTAATATCTAAATGTGGAACAGCTAAAAAGCCAGGGCAGGGTACAAAGCACACAGGTGTGCCACTCCAAAGGTCAGAAGCAGCACAGGACTGAAATCCTGATTTTCTGACTCAAATCAGTGCTCTGTTACAGCGTGCAAGCTTTTGTCCTGCAAAGTTAACCAGACCTTCTTGAGCAGGCACTGCCTTTCTCTGAGGATGCTGGAGTTGCCCGATTCAGCAATGTTTGACAGCAAGCTGGAAGGGCAAACAGCCTGCTCCAGTGTGACTGCTCCTAGGCATGTTCTTGGCTTTATCCTGTTGGTGTGGTCCTTGAACATCTCTGCTGGCAGGTGCTGCTCTGGGAGTGCAGAGCAGCGTTGGGAGGGCTGTAGAGCCTCTCCCTTGATATTGCAGGCAACCACGTCATTTAATCCGCCTCCTAATCCGATCAGGCTTCATCTTGGGAGTGCTCAGGGTTTTGTTTTCCTTGCTACTCCTTCTGGGAGGCTATTCCAGAGCTTTGTTTTTCTGGCTGGAAACCTTTTAACACTGTTCATGGCTAGCTGATGCCTTGTTCTCATGCCAGTGTTTTCCTTCAGCTTAAATGAAAAGCAGCCACAATTAAAGAGCACTTAACTCTAGAGCCCTGGAATTGAGCTAAGGGTCCAAGAGCCAGGTCTTGAGATGCTTTCCCTCTCTGAACTGTTTGCATGCAGCAGTATATCAATCTTATCCCCAAATCCTTTATTTCATTGCTTTAAGCAGGCACTGCTCCAAAGCACTGCATACCCCCTGCTCGAGTATCCTGCTAACTCGCTTCTGTGTCTCTTCCAGAGAAGTACATGGAGTTTGACCTGAACAACCAAGGCGAGATTGGTGAGTGACTCGGGGATGCTGGTGCTGGGCTGGAAGAGCAACAGCCTGCTGAGGTGGTATCTGCTGCTGTATCTGCTGCTTCCCTCTGCACTTGGGTTGCTGAGGAGGAAAACCTGTGGGTTGCTGCTGTGTCCAGCCTTGCTTGGATCTTGATTGCCAGCCAGGGGCTTCCTTGGCTCTCCAGCCCCTGCTTCTCAGTTTCCTCAGTCTCTCCTCACCTGCTTCAAGCTCTTCTCAGTCCTGTTCTTCTCCTGAGGCTCTGCTTAGCTCCTCCACTTCTTCTGGCTCTCAATGCTTTTTTTTTTTTTTCCTTCTACCTTTTTCTCTACTGAGGCCACCTTCTCAATCCTCAGCATTTCCAGAGCTGGGAAGCTGCAGGTCTTGGACAATCCTGGTCTTTGCCTGGCTTGAGGCAGAAGCTGTATAAAAATATGAGCACTTATAGTGCAGAGACGCTCTTTGCTTTTCTGGGAGGGAAGCAGAAGACATGGGTGTGAGTCTGGCTCAGCTCAGCAGCCCTGGTTTGGGCACAGAAAACACCAATTATGTAAAGGTCCAGCCTGGAGCTGACACTGAAGTGTAATAGCTCACATGCTGCTGCCCCGCTCCCCTCCTCCACCATTCCTGGAGCTGAAGTAAAGCCTGTGGAGCTGCAGGAGGCCTGACTCAGGGCTGTGCTGCCTTTTCCAGGAGGGAAGGGGCCGTGGGTCTCAGCAGGCAGCAAGGGCAATGGAAGGAAATGGCCTGTGGTGATGGGCAGGGGCACCCACTCCCCACTGCCTGTTTGTCTCCGGCTTTAACCCTGGTGTTGCTTCCCTCCTCCCCATCTTTGTGATTCTTGGCACCACGCTATGAGCTGGAGAACAGTGTCCCCACGTGTCTTTGGAGCTCTTGGAGAGTTTTCCCTCTTCTGTGTGTGTGGTGCTTTTATCTTGAGCTGCACAAATAGGAAATAATGCTCCGTACTGGGCAGTACAGCAGTAAGCAGTACTGGAAAGCGTGGCTTTCAGCCACAGCTTAATGCTGTCAGCCCCAGAGGTGAGGTGGTCTGAGGTGGGAACTCATGCCTATGGCCCTAGAGTTGATCTGTGCTTAGCGTGGTCACCTCTCAACAGCACCAATTGCCTTGCTCTTGCAGATTTGATGTCTGTCAAAAGGATGATGGAGAAGTTGGGGGCTCCAAAGACCCATCTAGAACTGAAGAAGATGATCTCTGAGGTCACTGGAGGAGTTAGTGAGACCATCTCGTACCAGGACTTTGTCAACGTGATGCTTGGGAAACGTTCTGCTGTGCTTAAACTGTGAGTGTCCCTGGGAGGGAGCTTGGGAGATGCGGGATCTGAGCTGGCATGTTGGAGAGCTGGGAAGTAGAAGTTGTTCTGCCTGGTGGAGCTGTGTGTGTCTGGTGCTCATGGAGGGGCCATGAGGACCCTTGTGAAGGGAGTTTGCAGAAAGACACGAGAAGGTGTAAAAGCCCATGTCTGGGCTGAGCAGTGGCGAGCACTCAGCGGAGCTGTCTGCTGTGTGTTCACACAGGCTTCCTCCCCACTGCTCCGTGCAGAGCCATTCTCCCCCTTTCCTGGGGGTGTGCTGTGCAGGCACTCAGTGCTGCCGTTCTTCCGTCTCTCCCCCGTGGCTTCTGCTGGCTTTGGGGACACAGCTTCCCCTGTGAATGGTGGCAAGACTTGAGCGGTGAATGACGGTCCTGCCAACACCAGCAGTGTTGGCTCCTGTTTCCTGTTACTGCCTGTCTCCTTGCCTGATTTTGGGAGACAGGCAGTAGATGGAGAGAGAGAGAGGACACATGCTTGAAACAGCTGGCTTGTGCTGGGAGAGGTTTTCTGCGGTCCGGCCTGCCAGCCCCAGCCTCCCACGGCCCCCTCTGCCCTCTCGACAAGGCTTTGAAAGTCCTGCTGTAACAAATGGCTTCCAAACACTTGTTTGGCTCCATCTCCATCCCACTGAAGCTGACTTTTTCTTTCACAGTCACAGAGGCTGGCCCTCCTTTTGTGTGTGTAACCACCATGAATGGGAGCTGCTCCTCTCCATCCCCCTTGCCCCTTTCTGAAGGCAGCTTTAGAAATGCAGCCAGCTTTCAAGGCAGGTGGGGAGGAAGGATCTTGCACTCACCCCTCATGTGGTCCCTCTAAGCTGGTACATGTTTGCTGGGGATGAGTCTCTCCCCACTGTGTCTGTGCGTTGGGATGCTCTTCTTCCAAGCACACACAGACTCCTGACACTCCCATTCCACCTCTCTTTCTCCACAGAAGCAGGCTGAGCCTGCAGGCTGTCCCATATCTTCCATCCTTCCTCCCAACTGCAGCAGCTTTCACAGATGGGTCCCTTCTCTTGCTAACAGACGCCCCATTGTCTGCTGCACTCTTTAGAGCAGGAGCAGAAATGTAAAACTCATCCCAAGAGCAGTGCAAGTCCTTTGATCCAGCGTGGCAGCTGGCATTCCCAGCGTAGCTGCAGTCCTCAGGGAGGAAGACAGTGCGGGTGGTTGCAAAATTCTTGGGATTCTTCTGGCCAGTGCCTTGCTCCTTGTCTCTGCGCTCTTTCCTGGCTGTGGTTGCTGTTGGTTGGTGTTGGCTTTTGAATGTTCTGCTGTGTGGTTACGTACAAGGTGGGTCAGGGATGGTATTTGCTTTTATGCATCAGGAGAACTTGGTGTGCAGTGTGTACCCAGGGGATTTTGGAATTGGCTGTCAAAATAAAATGTGCTAATCCTCTGGGCGCTGAGAGGAAAACCAGCAGAGGCTTTGGGAACCCACTCCTGGAAGCTGCTGGAAAAGCAAAGCAGCCTGCCAGGCTGGCAGCACTGCCCTCGGTTGACTTTCTCCCCCCTGTTAACTATCGAATGTCCTTTGCATAGAAGGCAGATGCTATTTTTCAGCAGACAAGATAATCCCACCTCCAGTGATGGGTAAAGAATGCACCCACTTTTTTCATTGGTATTATCTGTTGTGTTTTGCAGGGTGATGATGTTTGAAGGAAAAGCCAATGAAAGCAACCCCAAACCTTCTGGTCCGCCTCCAGAGAGAGACATAGCCAGCCTCCCTTGAAGAGGACAGGCTGAAAAGTTGGCACTGTTTGCTTTGCTGGCCTGTAACACAGGTTACCTGTGCTTTGTTACTCTCTACTGTGGACAGTTGTAGTTTTCAACTAACCTGCCTTAGAGGAACAGCAAGGGAAGCTGGAGATGCCAGCTCATGTCTTTCTGCCGCATCCCTTAGCCAACTTCATTTGTTAGACAGAAGCTGTAGCACCAAGTGTAATGTGAGACCAAAAAAGTAATCCTGTGATTTTACTCTTTCCTCTGCACTTCCTGCATTTCTCAGATGAGGAGCTACTTTCCTCCCAGTGTATGGATTCGGAGCTGTGCTTCTCACCACAGGTTCTGAGAGGGCCTTCCTGACAGACATCGAGCCCTTCTCTGGCAAAGCCCCTGACAGCAGCTTCATGGGTGCAAAGAAATAAGTGCCTTCTCTGCTCCATCCCATGCTTCCTGACTTTGGACTTGGCTCTTCCTTCCCCTCCTGACCTCACCAAAACACAAGTTGGGCTCCCACCTCTGTAGCCTAGTTGTGTGCCACGCGAAGGCTCATGGACACCAGAGGTTTGCCTGCAGGTCTTTAAGCTTGGCAGTAGGCATGGCTGACTGCAGGGACACCTTCTGCCCCTTAGGGACTCCCTTCCTGATAAATCTCTACTTGCATCAGATCAGGAGCATAACCTCTGGGCGAGTGGTTGTCCTGTCCATCGAGTGCAGAAACAAGCCTGCTTGTTATGCCTTTGCAGCCCCTCAGGAGGGCCCAGGGGAAATCAAACCTTCAGGTGAAAGGGAGCTGGGTACTGAACTGTGAGCCCTGCCAGACCAGTTGTGGATGAGGATCTGTCCTCATGCAGCTGCTCTGGGCCTCTGATTTTTGCAGACCTCCCTGTATGTGTTTCAGCTCAGTCCCCTGAGACTATGGGATACATTTCCCTGATGGGTAAGTCCTCACGTCTGCAAAATAAGAATGGCTTTAAGTGTGGAGTATGAGGTGGGATCCAGATGTTGCTGGGACTGTGCTGTCCACACTCTGGTTACTGCAGTGATTCTTGCTCTCTATGCAATTTCTGGAATCCAGATGTTTGCTCTTTACCCTTTCCCTATTATTTTCTTAAATGTTCTTAGCAGTTTTTAACTTTTTTTAAAAAAAATCATTGTTTAATAAATAATTTTTTAAAGGAAATACAGATGATTAACTCTACTAGGCTGATTGTTCCTGCCAAAGGCTGCACTTTTAAATAAAAAAAAAAAAAAAAATCTCACTACTGTTTGCATGAAAACCAAAACTGTAATGGAGAGAAAAAATTATGAGCAAAAGCAGCGCTAGTCTACTTTAAGGACTGAAAATAAATCTTCTGAAGCTACACTGTGTGTTGGTGTATTTAGTTTGGCTGCTCTGAAGCTTGGTCCATATGATTGGTTGCAGATTAAGTGCTCTGGTTTCCAAGTCTGTTAATATAAACCCTTGAATAGATCCTGGAGATAGGTTTGAACTGTCTTGCTCTGATCTTTATCTGTAATAACTGACGAAATGCCATGGAACTTGTGTTACGAAATGCAGAGGCTACCTCCTGAAAGCTGTCTTTTTTCTGACTTACTGAAAGAAAGCAGGTGGCAGTGTTGTTTTAAGGAATAACTTGTTTATCAAGAGCAGACACTTGTAATGCTTCTCTTAAAAGATTTTTTTTGTTCTTGTTGTTTTTATCCTCTCTGCTCTCATTCTCTCTTGAAGCAATTGCCTGAGGTTCTTGTCTGATGTCAGTTATCAAAATAGAGACCAGGCTGCCTGGGGGAATGACTGGGTACACTTTTTCCATGTGTTCCTCAAAAGGACAGAGTTGCCCTTAGATCAGAGCCCTGTGTCTGCTTTCTGCTGCCTGTCAGCCTCTGGGAATGCACCTGCTTTTCTGGGCTATGTGTGTTAAAGCTGCTGTTCAGGTAGAAAATAAAGGGAGTGCATTACACGAGGGAAATTTGGATGTGGTTTGCCACAGTTCAGGTCACTGCTTAAAGCCATCACTGCTTTTTGTCTCTGTGGAAATCCTTGTCCTTCTGGTCCTGCAAAAGACAAGCCCAACCTGCTAGAGCTCGAAACAGCCTTTCTCAACATGTCCTTGTCCCCACAGGGCTAAGTGCTAAGGTGATGTACCTCCCGTGCTGGCACTGAGAGAGGGCTGGACTCTCCTGAACTTGAGGCAGGAAGGAGCAAAGAAAGAAACACAGGTCCTGCTGTGACTGAAAAAACACATGCTGCTTTTGTGGGGCCCTGGAGCACAGTAAGGCTGTCCCTGCTCACAGAGCTTCCGTCTTTCCAGCTCAGGTGCTGTGGTGGGTTAGTGTTGGTGCTCGCCAAGCTGCTCTGTCACTCCCCCTCCTCTGCAGGATGGGGAAGGGAGAAAATAAGATGGGGGGAAAAAAACCCCACAAACCTCATAGGTCAGGATAAAGGCAGTTTAATTGAAACAAAAAACAAGAACTGTGTGTGGAGGAAGCAAAGGAAAAATGGAAGATTTATTCTCTACTTTCCTTCAGCAGGTGATGTCTGGCCACTTCCTGGGAAGCAGAGCTTCTGTAGCGGTGGCTCCAGAGGACACATGTCATAAATAATGAATGCCCCCCCCTTTCCCCTCCATTCTGCTCAGCTTTTATTGCTGAGCAGACTTCATGTGGTCTGGAATATCCCTTTGGTCCTGGCTATGTCCCCTCCCAGTATCTTGCCCATCCCTAGCCTACTGGGAGAGTGGAATGTTGGGGACACAGCTTTGCTCATAGAATCATAGAATTATTTTGGTTGGAAAAGACCTTAAGGATCTTAAAATCCAGCATTAACTAAAGCACTGGTGCGTTATCAAAACCTTTTGAGCTACCAATACAAAATGCAGCACTGTGAGGGCTGCTATGGGGAAAATT